TGAAGCACTGACTTCAGTCCAATCAGATGAACATATACATCATATAAATCAAGTGGACAATTTGTTTGGCTACAGCAAAATATGTTTTATGCCCGCATTGTTTGTTCATACAAAACGCAAAACTATGAGTTATGGGTCTTACCTTATAGCTATACCTTATAAATGACCTGCACAGTCCACTTCGGTTCAGACCAGTTCCTTGCTTAAATCCAGTTAATGGTTTGAGCGTAGATATGTAATCCTCCATTTGGAAATGAGTCCAATGAGTTTTAAAAAGTAAAACAAAACGCGTGTGTCCTCCATAAACTCCTGTGTTTTGCTAGCGGCAGCCGAGTGCATCCAATTTCTAAAATCAACCGTCTTACACTTCACCTCTCTTTCTTATCATTCCTATAGTAATTGAAAAATTACCCTATGTACATTTTAGATTATGTAAAAATGTGTTATATGTATGTTAGCCAAACCTGTTGCTGTCCTTAGCAGATAAACCAGGAAGAGCAAGGAGCTTATCGATGGAATTGTATGCAGCCGACTTCTGAGCTCACATGCGCTACTCTGTGGCTGACCTCACGGTGATACAAGCCGTGGTTGAGCGCGATTAAGACCCATATTTGTTTCAAAAACACAATTTATGAGCCATCCTCTCAACTGTAGACATGTGGATTGTAAAGGAAATATGATTTACATCAGCCAATAATTGCTGAGAGGTTTTCTCATCCTCCCTTCTCTCATGACAACACGTTCATTGTGCGTCTTGAGTAACGCGCAGTAACGGGATGTCGGAAATGATAACGGCGTTATAGTTACTGTCAAAGTAATTAGTTAGATTACTCGTTACTGAAAAAAGTAACGGCGTTAGTAACGCCGTTACTAGTAACGCCGTTATTCCCATCACTGGTCATTATGTCATTAAATTGCGCAGGCTCTGACGCCAGCAGAAAGGACCAAAACAAACCGGCATTCAGCAGCATTAGCCTAGCACATTAGCCTAGCATTAGCCTAGCACTATTGGACACCACTGGAAACAACGAACAACAGCACGGCATTAACACCGTGTTTCTGTCTATGTATTGTTGTCACAGCGGCCCCAGCAGAGGTAAATACACACACAGTAATCACAGTTTAAGAGTCTACCTTTTGGCCAATCAGTGTCAAAGGGGCGTAGGCTCGAAGCGCCAGCGTGAGCCAAAATAGATCCATGTGTGTGCCGTGTCCGCAGCATTACAGCAGAAGTTTGGGAAAGTTAGCGTCAGATTCGGACCTCCGCGGTCAATATCTCACGAAAGCTACTTTGTTAAACAAAATTAATTGTGCCAAAATGATCATTTACATCAATTGTTCAAATCCAATGCGCTGTTTTAATGAACATAAATCCATTGAATCATCCAGCGCAGAGAAAAGCGCTTGGGGAGCGTCAACAAATGGCAAGACCAGCTTTGTAAAATAGCTTTTACTGAAGTCATGTACCTGCACGAAACTCTCAGACACTATGAATAATGACCATGTCTAACTCCTACAGACTTTGATTTCAACATTTGTGAGTTTTTTATATTTTAAATGAATGCATATGTTTTTCTTTTTAAAAATTGCTTTTACAGTGAATGGTATTTACTGTAACATACATAAATAATGTATGTTATTTGTCTCTTTATTCGTCTCACAACTGATTTTCTAACTCAAAAAATATATATATTAGATTCTAATATATAAATAATTAACAATCTTGACTATTTTATGCAAGAACCTGCTAGACCTATATTGAAATTCACACAACAAATTATACCGCAATATATACCGTCTACCGTCTGTGTCCCAAATTTTACCGCAATATGAATTTTAGGCCATATTGCCCACCCCTACGTTCACATTACATCATAAAACCATAGTCTGTTGTTTTATTATGATGGTTGTTTATTATGACAATATGGCAGGAGGCCTGTTGTAGATCCATCTCCAGGTGAAGCGCAGTCCTTTCACACTCATTACCTCGTGTTTATGGCCTGGAGCCGTCGCCCTTGACCAGTGCTGCAGTGACCTCAGGCCCCTGTGACAGAGGACAGCGCGTCCTGAGCAGCCGAGCAGAACGAACTTTTTGATAAGAGCCTTTACAGCCTCATGTGTTCTGCCTCAGAGAATACCGCTGTTAACAAACTCACAGCTCAGCACTTTTCAAATTAAACACGCATTGTTCTTGCTGACCAGAGGAAGTGTACGTAAGGATGTGATTTCTTATTTCTGTCACATGCGGACATTGTGTTAAGAACTTTGATCCTCATTACTGTTGTAGGATATGGACATAGGTAAACTGCTCCTCATAGAACAATAACTATGTGTTTTTATCATTGCATTTCTTATGTTTGAACTGTTTGATTCTCTGATTAACACATGTTATGCTGTTTATGTCATTGTAAATCCAGATATCAGCCCTATTATTGCCTTCTGTCCCTGAAACTAGCTTCAGTTTGCAAATGGCAAAAGCAGGATGAGACCAGTGCAACCCCTGATTGGATTTTGGTTGCTAGGTCATTGCTACCTAGAAATGTTGCTCCAGATTCCCACTCTTTGGTTACCTCTTATCAATTTCTCTCATTAAAGCAAACACTATGGGGTGAGGTCAGTACTTGTTTTGACCACTCCCTGTACTGTCTATGCCAGAGTTCCTACAACCTACAACTGCTTTGTGTTGGAGAATTTGACGGTAACTACTGCTTTGATTTAGGGCTAAACAAAAAATACATTGAATGGAATTGTTTGAGTGATTCTCCTGCATTATTCTTCTGTAATGTAAAAATTCAAATATAGGAGTTTCAAAAATACACATTTATAGAGGGACACAATGACTAGTCTATGTGGTAACTGGTACCCACACACGATTGTTTTCAGGCCAAAAAGCGTAATTAAAACAATGTTTGGTTAAAGATTTTCCAAAAACATGTTTTATAATGTTAAATGTGTAAATTAGATCTTATGATAAGTACTCTCCATTAAGCTGTTCAGCCTCAAACAAGCTTCCTTTTTTTCCAAAATATTTTCTCACACCAATGCATTTTTTACTTGCGGAACCTAGAGTTGGACGGGCTCTTCTGTACTTTCTTTGGACTGAGTTTGAAACTGTGAATAATAGATTGTTATTCTAAGTCCGTACCAAGAAGGTAATAAAAAAGCTATAAGCAGCTAAAAGCAGCTATCTCAGAGAACTTTACAAAGTTGACTATTTACCAACATGGATCACAGAATCTAATAAATACAGTCGTCTATGGTTCAAACACTGGATATGCTATGATAAAAACAAGAATCTCTATAATTGATGAAACGCACAATGAATTCACCCTACAGTTGTACATTATGAATCATACGTCAACAACCACATACTGTCATATTTGAACACATATTTGAAGAGAACTGAAATGACAAAGGGTATGTGTTTTCTGTTAGTTTAGCCTCCTATAGAGTATTATGGAGCCTGAGCTCAAAGTTCAGGCATGTTAAAGGCGTGACTGGATCTTGGCCCCACTATTATGAAGGGATCACAACAGGAATTGAGTTGAACTTGTTGAAGTTTTAAGCAAAATACTTTCAGATGTGTCTTTGGTATAGCTATTTTGCCAAAGCTATACCACAGCAAAGGTAGGTTGGTGTATTTTTTTTCACTGGTTTGGTTATTGACTGGAATGAGACAATAATTTTGAATGCCTGTTATCAATTATTCTCCAGTGTTTTTAATAGTCTAAAATCTGGTGTTTTTCTTATTCGTATTTTATAGGGATGATAGTTGCCTGCTTATGTGTAAACTTATCCCTTACGTTTTTGTTGGTCTATCTTTTATGGTTGTGGTAATGGTCAGCTCTGAAGAAGAAGCAAAGAAAGTGTGTTTTTCTTATCTAAAAGTGTCCTGCTGGCAGGCGTTGCTTAACTAATCTTTGACCTCTGTTTGCACCGCATAACTATGTGGAAGTTTGCATTATTACTGTTGATGTTTATTTAACGACTGTCAAAGCAAAGAAAAGCTATGGAAACTTTGAAACGTGCAGAGCAAAGCGGTCTCAGGAAAGTTACAATTGGTATTAAAAGTGGGATTTTTGTGGAACTAGGGTAAGGTCTATTTTGATTGAACGGGAACAGATGAGTGTGTTGGCTTGGAAAGGATCATAATTCATCGACATTTTCACCTGCATTTACATTACACATCTTATGAAGGAGTTTTCATGGCAGGGGTCCACTGTTTGCTTTGGTCCAGCTAAATCAGGCATGCCCGAACTCCCATTGAGGTACACTCATTGTGTGTCATTCAGCCAACTTCAGCTCCACCCATTCAGTCATGCTATGCCCTGTTGTAAAGTCACTTGTATTTTATCCGTATTTCAAATGCTTTCTAGGCCATTTTATTAATTATTTGCTTACTGTACACTGTCACTTTGCCTCTGCCCTATGACTACGGGCAAAAATTTGCTTGTAGTTATGTCTAGTCTGAACAATACATTTATTTGGCTATGTCCCGGTCAAATAAACAAATAAATACTGTAAATACAAAATTAAATGGTTTGCATATACTCAAATGGGTTTTTGATTGTGCCAAAATTCCTTTAATGGCTCTAATGTAGTTGTGGTGTGAATCAATATGGACAATATCTTCCCCAATTTTTAGAACACCAAACTAGCCAAAACCCAGTCAAACCGTTTTAGAATCCATGTTGTCGGCCAATTGACAGCTAACATGGGCCCTCCTACTAAGGTTAGGCAAGACAAGACTAGTTCCAGATTATAGCTGCATAAATCTGAAATTCTGCCTCCCCATATTTAGTTTGGACTTGAAGGAAGCCAGTCCCTGTGCTCCTCAGAGACTTAAAAAGTTTGAACACCTCTGTTCTAAGTAAGATTCTAATAATTTGTTTCAAAGCCTGCTCTGGAATTTAAAACCTGATAAGGGCTAGAAAAAGTTTTGTCAGAAATTCCTGCTTATTACATTGGCATTTATTGAATTTGTTTTTTGTTTTTTCCAGGCATCATCTCGACTCCAGTGCTGACCTGATCCCCAGCTTATAGACTTCCTAGTAACACGAAGGATCGTTGGTCAATGTAAAAACATTGTGCTACTTCGGCTTGTGGTTTGTTCCGGACAGTGGATTCTCTGAGGCCTCTACCCTGAGGTCTCGCTCAGGATCAGTAGGAACTGAGTCTCGTCTCTTAAAAATAGGATCATGCGTTAAAGTCCAGCGCCTGCTCAAAACAACTGCAGAAGATGAATAATGAGGACGAGTTCTTCGACGCCGAAACTGGTAAGTGCTTGTGATGGTTTGGTTTACCCATATACAGGAACAACACAGATCCTAGTTTTGTTTGGAGGCTTTTAATCTAGGTGAAAAATGAACCAACTGTTTTGTTCCTTGTTGGTCATTTACACAGACCATATGGACAATGCTAATCCTCTAGCTTGCTAAGGCCTAATGGAAGTGGGAAGTGCTCATTGCATAATTTTGGCTCCATTAAGCTCCAGGCGAATTTCTACACACTTTTCATTTATGCCGCTAATCAAAATAAAACTAAATGTCCATATAACATTCACGTGGTGTAAGAGGGTCTGCAAGATGGAAAAGTAAAATCCTGATTGCAAACCATTTTTAGACACAAAAACAAAGTCATTGTTCCACCACTGCTGTGAAGGGTAAAGTCCTTGATGCAGTGAATCAATGGATCAGATGAGGCTTGTCCAGACCAGTCGTCTGTGGTCGTCATCAATGTTAAAACCTGTGCAACGTGAGCAGCTCCTGTTGGAAGATTTCTTGAATTATTCAGTGTATCATCTCACCATGTCATGTCCACAACACACTTATATTGATTAGACAATTTACTAACCCAGACCTGGGCAAAATACAACCCTGGGTTCATTGAATTACAACTATTTTCAGGTATATAGGGTTTTATAATGTCACTTTACTGAGACCCTGTGTCCCAGAGCCTCATAGTGCTGCTAGCACGTACAGATGTAAACATACTGCTGCTAACATGTACAGATGCTAACATACAGTATAACTACATATTTCTTGCACTGGAATACACCGTACTTTATACTTGCTTCATTTTTTGCCAAATGTTGAGATTTAAACATTATTATGTAAAAGATGGAGATATTTTACTTGTTTGATGCTATTAGAGATTTTTATTTTCTAATTAGTATACTTGTTGTTCATTTATCTTGTGCTCCTCATTCCTACTGTTCCATAACTTGTGTTGCAACACTTACATTTCCCCGCTGTTAATCTTATCATGTTTATGGGGTGGAAGTCTACAAGGTTTTACTTGTTTCCCACTCCATCTCGAGCATACAAATTGTAAAAAGGAATACTTTTTGAAACCCTAACTCCGTGAACTAAGAAATGTAAATACAAATGTATAATTTCGGCTCGAATTAATAAAATCAATCAATCAATATTTCCACCAAAATATTATTGAGATAGAGGTATTTGGTCTTAGGTTGTGTTGTTGTATCTCATTTTAAGGAACCAGCAGAACTGTTGACCTGCAGTTTTGTGCACAAATATTTGTAATTCTGTGGACTCCTGTTACCTTGAGGTCTTTATCAGTGAAGCTACAGTGTTAGATAATAGAGCTACACTGGTGGTCATAAGATTACGTAAAACAACATTGACGATCAATGGATTCAGCAAACCACTAATGACTGGGGGAAAAAAACATATTATTTTTATTCTTTGAACAATAGCCAACGTGTCATAATTTTGAATCTAGTTTCACCCTTTTTGCAAAGGTGTAACAGGGGGTACTTTTAAAAACTTGCAAAGATTGAAAATAAGATATTAATTTGGGCTACTAAACTGCAAAAAGTGATGAATAAGTAAACATTTCTCAAATGTATCTCAATTTGAGCACATTCTGACTGCCTTAAAACAAGATTAGCCAATGGGACAATCAAAATGGTCTTGTAAAACGATACTAGAAATGTCTGACAGTCAAAATGTGCTCAAATTAAGAGAAAAACCACTTGATTCAACCATTTATTACCTCATATTTAGGATTTTTTGCAGTGTAATGGCATGTTATACTATTTTAAGGATATTTTTGTCAAGTTTTTGGCCAACTAATTAATTATATTCTAAACATTGTACCTAGGACAGTTATGAGGAAGGAAGGCAATAACAAGCCTCCCTTACTTTTGATCCCGTTTGGAAAAGAAGACATTTGGTCTACTACTTCTCATCAAGAAAGTAGATTGGAATAGCTTCGTGTATTTCAACCTCGCAATGATAAAACATCCTCCAGAATCATTCCCATCACATCGAGGTCCCCACAGTGAGATACATAGTCCCTTTATCTTATTAAAATGTGTTGTGTCTCTGATAAAGTGTTTTAACCAGACAGATATTCTCTCATGAACAGTGTCCCTGCTGCTGTGTATCTGCCCGTCCTGATCCCTGTGCGCCTTTATAGCCTGTATTTGCATGTGCTTTAGAGTCATAAATAAAACATTATGATAAGCTTGTTGTTATGACGATCGTCTTACTGAACAGAGAGAAACCGACCATATCTTGTCTATTATTTAAAACGGACGTGTATCAGGTGGAAGGTTTTAATCATTTCACATAATGCAGCTTTTAATTATAGATGTTCTGAAAACACATAGAGCTCGTCAAATAAAACTATTACCTTTTTTCCCCCCAGTAACCAGGAAAAGACAACTCTAGGCCTTGGGTTCAACTCCCAGGCAGCAAAGGGCATTTATGAGTGAGGTTTGCATGTTCTCCTCATGTTTGTGTTGATTTCCATGCAGCTGCTCTGGTTTCCCCTGCAACTAAAATCATGTACAATGGGACTACAGTCTTAAGCTAATTATAGTGTATTTACAGCAGTAACCGTGTGGCTCAAGTGAAGAAGGTCACACCAGGTACAATACTTTGCATAATGACGCTCTTGCCATGAAGGTTTGGGCTTTTCAATTCAATATATTATTTTATGGTCCAAAATCACAAAAGCAGTCTTCTCAGATGATTTTATAACGTTTCATGCAGTTCGAACAGAGGAAATAATAATAATAAATGCATAGGAGCCATTGGTTCATAAGGAGCGGGATGACCACTGTCCAAGGAACTACTCAAAAACAACCAAGTGGGATAAAATGAGAAACCTTGCACGAACAGACAGACCTCTACAGATCTCTGTAGAATGAGGACTGAGGCTGCAGTACAGAACTGAAAAGGCTTTTGCACGTGTTGCTCTTTTCTTCATAAATGTGTCCTTTTTAAAATATAAGATTATGTTTATTGCTCTGCCACACGAGCCGCAGGTGGAAAAAGCCAACTTGCTCTACCCATTGCAATGCTTCAAACTAGGTTGTCTTGATTTTTGTGTCCGGTAAATCCCTGTGTTTGTCTTTGCATAGGGTTGAATACAGTACTTCATGTCACTTTTGGCCATGCCCTAGGTGTGCTTCTCAAAGTATTTATAACTGATGTCGTCCATCGTTCTCTATTGTGATCGACATGTTTTAGAACGGCTCCACCTAAAAGCTCCAACAAACTTGCAGGCGTGGATCATTCTTGCCCTGCTGTTCAACACAACATGCTTATTCACATTGGCGTCTCTTCAAATTACTTTACCTTTTGTGTGTGTGCTGCTGAAATGGACGTACAAAAAGACTAGTATGTCTAATTTTCACCAAAAGTGTTTGTAAACAGGTGGGCGTGAGGGCGGCTATGTGCGCAGCAGGGTCTGTTAAAGACTTCACGGACCTGTCAAATAACTTTAGCGGCGTCTGAGTGATGCACTGTATGGAGAGGGAAATATATGGATTCACGCGTTCACCTGCTCACCCTGTGCGAGGCATAGTCACCATTTATTAGTGCATTTTTTTCAATGTTCAGCATTGACATGCTTGGGCGCTTTGCATGCACATTTCAGACTTTTTGGAAATGTCCCTTTATCTCTTCACACACACCTACCATCGGCAAATGTCATTTTTTTTGCTGATGGTAGTTAACAAGGCAATCTGTGCATCTCTATTACCCACAGATTTTAAAGCACAAATTGGTGAGAGTGACACAAACGGCTACTGAGCTAGAGGAGTTCACTTTTCAAGCAAGTCAAAAGAAGCCAGAGCGAGTTTGATCAAAACTTAATCCATGAGCATTTCCCTATTGGGCTTCATTGAGCCAGAGGGTTAGGGGTTATCATTGTCCATCTGCATTCAGTCTATTGTCTGTAGGCAATAACAGAGAATTTCCTATACCTCCAAGCTGGAGATGCAGTAGCAGGGAGCTTGGATCGGAGCAAGGATTATGTAAACATGTATGAATTAGTCAAAACACAACCCTATTGAGGGAACACTCACAGAATGCAGTGTTTAGCCCGATAGCCTTACATGGCAGCTCTGCACAGGCCACGGGAGAAATGCTGTTTTTGCAGGGAAGAGGCAGAGTCAACAGTTTAGAACAATCAATAACATTTGCCATTCAAACTGAGCCAAGAGTGACTGATGCAAAGCTCTATGCAAACCTACACAGAACTCTCTATTTGCGAACCATTATGGAAATACAGATTTTGTTACACTAATAGTCAACGTGGCAGTAGCAAAATTTCAAACTACAAATCAAACTACAGTGCATCTAGAAAATATTAACAGCGCTTCACTTTTTCCACATTTTGTTATGTTACAGCTTTATTCCAAAATGGATTCAATTCATTTTTTTCCTCGTAATTCTACAAACAACACCCCATAATTTGCTAACAAGTACAGATGATGGGTGAGAAACCTTCCTTTGCCCCAACACCCCATAATGACAAGATGAAAAAAGTTTTTGGGAGATTCTTGCAATTTTACTAAATTTAAAAAACCGAAATCACATGTACATAAGTATTCACAGCCTTTGCCATGAAGCTCAAAATTGAGGTCAGGTGCATCCTGTTTCCACAGATCATCCTTGAGATGCTTCTACTACTTAATTGGAGTCCACCTGTGGTAAATTCAGTTGATTTTGACTTGATTTGGAAAGACACACACCTGTGTGTGTGTATATATTTATATATATATAAAGGCCCCACAGTTGACAGTGCATGTCAGAGCACAAACCAAGCATGAAGTCAAAGGAATTGTCTGTAGACCTCCGAAACAGGATTGTCGTGAGGTACAAGTCTGGGGAAGGGTACAGAAAAATGTCTGCTGCTTTGAAGGTCCCAATGAGCACAGTGGCCTCCATCATCCGTAAATGGAAGAAGTTTGAAACCACCAGGACTCTTCCTAGAGCTGGCCGGCCATCTAAACTGAGCATTCGGGGGAAGGGCCTTAGTCAGGGAGGTGACTAAGAACCCGATGGTCACTTTGTCAAAGGTCCAGCGTTCCTCTGTAGAGAGGGAACCTTCCAGAAAGACAACCATCTCTGCAACAATCCACAAATCAGGTCTGACGGAAGCCGCTCCATAGTAAATGGCACATGGCAGCCCGCCTGGAGTTTGCCAAAAAGCACCTGAAGGACTCTCAGACCATGAGTGAAAAGAATTCTCTGGTCTGATGAGACAAAGATTGAACTCTTTGGCGTGAATGCCAGGTGTCATGTTTGGAGGAAACCAGGCACTGCTCATCACCAAGCCAATACCATCCCTACAGTGAAGCATGGTGGCATCATGCTGTGGGGATGTATTTCAGCAGCAGGAACTGGGAGACTAGTCAAGATAGAGGGAAAGATGATTGCAGCATTGTACAGAGACATCCTGGATGAAAACCTGCTCCAGAGCGCTCTTGACCTCAGACCGGGGCGACGGTTCATCTTTCAGCAGGACAACGACCCTAAGCACACAGCCAAGATAACAAAGAAGTGGCTTCAGGACAACTCTGTGAATTGAGTGGCCCAGCCGGAGCCCAGACTTGAATCGAATTGAACATCTCTGGAGAGATCTGAAAATGGCTGTGCACCGATACTCCCCATCCAACTTGATGGCGCTTGAGAGGTTCTGCAAAGAGGAATGGGCAAAACTGCCCAAAGACAGGTGTGCCAAGCTTGTGGCATCATTTTCAAAAAGACTTGAGGCTGTAATTGCTGCCAAATGTGCATCAACAAAGTATTAAGCAAAGGCTGTGAATACTTATGTGCATGTGGTTTCTTAGTTTTTTTATTTTTAATACATTTTCAAGAATCTCAAACTTTTTTCATGTCGTCATTATGGGGTGTTGTGTGTAGAGCTGTGAGGAAAAACATGTATTGAATCAATTTTGGAAAACAGCTGTAACATAACAAAATGTGGAAAAAGTGAAGCGCTGTTAATACTTTCCGAATGCACTGTATGTATTACAATTCAGCTTAACTAGTTCCTCGCTCTCAACTCAAAGCATCAAAGAGCACAGGGCGAAATATTTTATTCCACCCTATAACAACATTTGAGTGTGCCGGATTTGTGGACCAAATCCGGCACACAAGATAATTTTGGTGACCTAAAAGGATTTTAAATTATTACCATGCAGCATAGAGGGTAGTAGCCTGCCAAGGCAAGAAAACAACCAAATTGAATTTAACTTCTAATGATGTATTGGGTTAACATTTTAGATTAAATAGTTAAACTTAAAACTATGTATATAACTTTACATTTAACCAAAAATTGACCAAATATAAACAATAAACACATTGTGTTTTCCGAAAAATCAAAGAGAAAAAATATTAGGGCAACTTTTGTCACTTCATTCATAACTAGGGGTGGGAACCTAAGGGTACCTCACGATACGATACGATACACGATACAAAGCTCACGATAACGATAATATCACGATAACGATATTACGATAACAATTTTATCACGATATGACGATTATTGATATACATAGTTCCCACATGACGTCACTACATACGGGGATTTGCCGACCCGGCGCCATTTGTGTTGGCATTCTGTGGGCAAAACAATAGAAAAAGAAGCTGAAACGTGTTAATGTCGTGATAAAGTTGAAAATGGTCATCTCCTGCTGGGTCAATGGATGTTCAAATCGTGCCGGAGGTTCCGTTAAACTTGGATTTTACAGTATACCCATCATTAGACTTCATGAATGTGAGAAGACTAAGCTTTTGTCAGAACAACAACGGAGGTTATGGCTTGCGAAGATAAACAGGCAAGAAACTCCCTCAAAACACGCAAGAATATGCTCGGAGCACTTTGTGTCAGGTGCGTATCGTATCTTATAATGTGTTGACAGACGTAATTTACTCAGTACTAACTTGTGTATGCTGATAGCTGGTAACTTGAGAGTTTCATTATTTAGCGTTAGATTACTTTATTATGAGGAGGATCGGTGTCGCGTCCGAGGCTCTCGAGGGCAACGTAAATGTATTAAATAGATAATAATAGTTCTATGGTGGGCTAAAACAATGTTCACAAACAGCATTGCTTCTGTAAAAAGATCTGTGTCATAAAATAAACTGCTCTTTACGCCTGGAAAAATCAGTTGCCCACCATTCACCAAAACATACGGTCAAAAACGCGGAAATAAACAATAACAGCAATCCAGAGTGTCCGTGTGGCATTAGCATTAATTAAATTAATTGTTAATATAATTAAAATAATTAAATGGAGCTCTCCAACTGGTATTAAATCTAAAGTTTTTGAGAAATGTTTGCATTGCTTGTTAATTTTTGCTGCATAATTTGATCAAATATGTAAAACATGTCCGTAGCACGTTAAACTGTGGTGCCATTGTATTAATATACAATTATTTGCTCAAAAGTTGCCCTTTTTTCCAATTTGCGTTTGAATATCTACATTTATTCTCATTCTTCTGTTTAATGGAATGCACAAACACAGCAGCGTGCCATCAAAGATGGCGTCTCCGAGGAGGTCATGTGACATTCATTGGTCTGTGGGAACTATGTATATTGGTCAGAAATACACAATATGCCAATTTATGGCATAAATAAAATAAAAAAAAACTCTTTATTTAATGACAAATAGAATGGAGATGCGTAATGTAGCCATATATTAAGTATTGATACCAATAAAAAAAAAAAAAGGAAAAAAAACAACAACAACAAAATATTTCAAAATCGATATTGATACTTGGCAAATGCATATCGATAATCGAATCGCGGGAGAAATCGATATATTGTCACACCCCTATTCATAAGAATTATATATTTTTTATCTATTGTATACTTTTTGTACCGACATTATCAGCATTCAGCATGCACCCGGTTCACTTAGCAACCGCTCCTCACTGATCCTTCTACAGGTGTGAGTCTACAGGAGCATCCATCCATTTTCTTCTGCTTCATCCGTTGCCAGGTCGTGGGGGCAGCAGTCTAAGCAGAGACTCCTCAACAATACAACATTATTCTACTTTCTAATTGCACCACAATGTTTATATACATGAGACCAAAACTGCACATAGAATCTCACAATTGGTCTTTGTGTGTATTGATTATTAATATCTGATCATTAATATTTTTGACAACTTTACTAAGAGCCCACAATTCAACAATATAATATACACGTTCCTCTATTCTTTCATCTTCCATTATTTCAGTCTCTTCCTCCTTCTATCGCCCTTTAGGCCTGGATTCAGACGAGTCGTGCGAGGGCGTGTCCGAGGCCAGTTTTAAAGACGCGGTGGTGTCACAGAAAAACAATGGGGCGGTTCCTCAGGAGAACGGCATCAGGAAACACAGGTAGAGCTGCATTCTGCTACATTACTTACACACACACGCACACACATAGACACACACACACACACACACACACACACAGTTTTTCCTGATGTTGCTTATGACTGTGACTGTGTATTGAAACATTCCCACATGTTATGGAAAGGGCCTCTCTCTGAAGATTGCAGAGAATCTTAAACATGCATAGTAACAGTCATTCAAGGGCACATTCAAAATCATATTGTTTTTTTTATTTTTTCAACTGGTTAGAGATGTTATACTTGCTTCTTTATCATACTAAAGTTAGACATTTTTTCTCTTACATTTTATACTTCTTTATTATGCTAAAGTTGGAAATGGTTTTGCTTCTTTATGCAAAGGTTTTTTTTAGTATAGAGTTATTCATTTTTCTCTTTATATATAACTCCTCACTCCTACTGTTCTGTAAGTGGTGACGCAACACTTAAAAATCCCCCCATGAATAAAGAATCTCTTAATCTTAAATTACAACCATAGACTGTATATAAATGGATATTTCTAACCAGTTCTTGGGTAAAGTTTGGCTCACTTTGTCTCCCATTCACTTACATTAAAAAGGAAACTTCTCTGTATCCGTTTGTGTCACACTTACCATTTTGGGCTAACAAATGACCAAAAAGGTGCAGTCTCTGTCCAAATGTGGCTTAAGTTAGCAAGTAATGCGAGCAGGAACACACCAGCGCTGCCCCGATTGGCCCGTTGGTTGCTGGGCAGTTGCTATCTGGCCATTTTGCTCCAGATTTAGAGCCGGTGTGAGATGGTTCTAATCAGCTCTCAAGCACAACTCCTTTTAGAGTGGTGTGACATTGGATACAACATTCTTCCCTCGTCAAAAACAGATCTGCCGTTGTTTTTAGCTCCATCCACGCTAACACCAGGAACTACTGGCAAAAATGCATCATCTTTTCCCACGTCTTTTGCCTCCAAATTGGTTTTAGGTATTTCTCCAATGTTTTCTTTTATTAAAATGTATTGTACATGAATAGTGTAATATCCTGCTTCTACCACTATATTTTCAAACATGGATGCCAAAGTAAATGTTCTCATCGATTCTCATGTCTACAGGCCTAAATCAACACAGCACTGTATAATATTTTGTTGTTGTATAATGGTTCCTTTATACTCATTTATTTCTATTTTAATACCGTGGGAAGTTGTGCTAGATGGTAATTTTGATAATTACCAGTTAAACAGGACACAAACAGGGCGCACTCCTCCAATCCGATGAGAATTATGAATTACATAATATTGTTTTTTTGTCTATAAATATAGTGTGTTCTTAGTGCAATTATCATGTTATTTTATTATTTGTTTCAGAGATTAGAATTTCCATCCCACCTTCTTTAGAATGATGATAATGTGATAATATAAAGTCAAAGTAGTTTAAGGATATGAAACAAGATCTTTATGACAGGATCTTGTCACAGGTAGTTAAAACAGAAGTATTGGCTCTAAGTAATATTTGATATTTCTCATAAAAAAATGTTGTACTTTTTGCAATTGAATTTTGAAAGTAGAAAATAACATTGATTGTTTATTTTTACATAGCCCTAAATCACATTTGCATTTTTGACTATTTACCAAGTTGTTAATTCGCCAGCACAGATAAGAGAATCAAACAGTTCAAACACAAGAAATGTAATTATAAAAAACACATAGGTGCCATTGGATGACCAATGTCCACGAACGTAATTAAATGTCCTTCATAAATATTTTCTTTTTTTACCATGTATTTCCTATGTTTAATGTCCAAAAATAATGCTATTTATAATATTTCTATGAGTAAGTAGTGCAACATTCCTTGTGGGTTCTAAATTCTAGAAATAAGGCTTGGATTTGAGGCAATCAATGTAGAAGAGTGTGTGTTGTACTGTTTTTGTTATGTTTGTAGATATAAATCAACATTCTTCACGCAGCCTGTTGGCGTCTTCACGAGGCACCTTTGTATCTGTGCTGATTACACGATAAGATGGGCATGTTTTAAGCATATCTTTAATGTGTTTTTAACCGAGATCGTGTAAATATGAAAAACAACAAGAGATGGAAAACGCAATGTTGATTGCAAAACTAAGGCTTTTGTCTCGGCTCCGCAGAAATATGAAGAGAAATGCTTGTTAAGTTTAATATTGAATCCTTATGACTTCAACCTTTTAGTAGTGATATTACTCTGACCAATGAGGTTTTATGCATTTCTGAAACGGCTTTCTTTTTTCCCCTCAGGACATCGTTACCTGCACCAATGTACGCGAGAAACACTGTTAGCATTTGGAGCATCCTCAAGAAATGTATTGGCATGGTAAGATTGTACTATGAAAAAAAAGTTGCAGCATTATCATAAAAAGCCTTTTGCATTTGAGCAAAATTAGGCTCCCCAAGGCAAATATGAGCACTGTCATGCTCCGACTGCCACTGGTCTCTTTAAGTTGTAAACTCTATGGGGAAGAAGCCATTTTTGAAAGATAGAAATGTTTTCCCAGATCATCTTTTTAGTGTTATAGTAATGGGTTTGTAAATATTACTATACTACTTCTATCATATTATTCTATCGTCTGCCAGTCCATCCTATTGGCCAACATCATGCATATGTTAAGATATGAAATAGTCCTTTATTTGTCCCTCAGTGGGGAAATTAGTTGAATACACATATACACTACAATTTTTCCACGCCCCTTGAAAGGCAAAATATTGATATAAAACTTTGTATTGTAAATTATCTCTGGTGTAAAAGCCAGATCCTCGCTTGAGTCGGTGTGCCCAGGACAGCTGTGGCCACAGTAGTAGTTTATCACCACCGTGTATGAGGTGAATTAATAATAAGTAAAGCGTCTTTGAGTGTCCAAAAAAGCGCTATATTAAACCAATGCATTAAAATGTCACATTCACGTAGTAGAGAAGGCTTCATAAACTTGAGCTCCTGCAAACTCATCAACAACTCTTAAGTAACTGTGATTCCGATGGCTAATGTCTTTTTATTTGTTTGGGATTTCCCTTATTATGTTTTACTTGAATTCGCTTCTTTCTTTTCCAGGAACTATCCAAGATTACCATGCCCATCGCCTTCAACGAGCCGCTGAGCTTCCTCCAGAGAATCACAGAGTACATGGAACACACTTACCTCATAAACAGAGCGTCCTCGTTGCCGGAGTCTATAGACCGCATGCAGGTGAGACCGGTGTCATATGTGTACTTGAATGTATAATGTATAAATGGATGTATTAGAACAGCTATAGGAACATATGCAAAATTGTCTTTATCTTCCCTTCCTCTTTGTACAAAAGCTCCTATTCAAACTTGGTACACTGACAAATCCTTAGACTGTTGTATCATGAGTAGAGTAGATTTCTGCCTTTAACATCAAAAGTATTGTCCCTAAATCAGTTTGTGTTATTTTTAAATTTAAAGTCAGTTAAACATCACGTTGGATTTAACTATAGCAGGACGTTATTTCCCATTCCTACCACTAGAGGGCAGTGTTGATAAATCTTTGTAATTTTTTCTACATATATTTTCTTCTGCTTTGTTCATTTTGCAAAATGTTTGAAATAAAAAATCGTACTCGCATGTTTTAGGCTGTAGCTGCTTTTGCGGTTTCTGCTGTGGCGTCGCAGTGGGACCGGACTGGAAAACCGTTCAATCCGCTCCTGGGCGAGACGTACGAACTTGTCAGGTACATAAATACATTGACAAAATATTTTTTATACTGTTCAGTGTTGTACATCTTTTAGTGGCATTTGTGTAGTGAACAATGCTTATTCTACAATAGCTAAATTATCTTTATAAGACTCCTCAGAGTCCGGCCCGGACTCTGAGGAGCACAGGGACTGGCCTCCTGCTGGTGCCCAGAGTGAGAACCAAACATGGGGAGGCTGCGTTTCAGATCCATGCAGCTAAGATCTGGAACAATCTCCCTGAAAATGTGAGGGAGGCGTCTACTCTGTCAATGTTCAAATCCAGGTTAAAGACTGTTCTGTTTGCCTGTGCATATAACTGAAGGATTTTATCTCCATTTTTAATGCACTGCTGTCATTTATTTATTTTTTTAAATTTCTTGTGTAATTTTGAAAGTTTTAATGGTTTTATTCTTTTGTGTGATTTTAATGTTTTAATTGTGTTTTAATCTTTTGTGTGATTTTAATGTTTTAATTGTGATTCTGGTGTTTGTTTTATGTGATGATTTGTGATGTGGACTGTGAAGCGCTTTGTGTTGCCCTGTGTATGAAAGGCGCTCTACAAATAAACTTTGATTGATGATTGATTGATTGATTTATTTCATGTATTTCTCCCAGTAATCAGAGGAAGTTTATAGTATGACTTTTATGATTATACTCTGTTCGATTCAAAAGGATGTGCACAGTTCTAAATCACAGCAGCAGTCGTCTCTGAGGACTTCACAAAGTTGTCAATTCATCCACAGCAGTACAGAGAATTAAATGGTTCAAACACAGGAAAGGCAGTAATAACAAAAACATAGGAGCCATTGGTCCATAGGGAGAGGGAAGACCAATGTCCATAACAATACTGTGTCCTAATTCCATCATGCAAAAGATAAAGTCCTTTGTTCAGGAATTATTGCCCTGTCTCATCAATGTCTGTGTGTGTGTGTGTGTGTGTGTGTGTGTGTGGCTCTGTGTGTGTATGTATGTTTCCAGGGAGGAGCATGGGTACCGGCTGATCTCAGAGCAGGTCTCGCATCATCCTCCCATCAGTGCCTTCCACGCAGAGAGCCTCACCGGGGACTTCGTCTTCCACGGATCCATCTACCCCAAACTCAAGTTCTGGGGTAAAAGTGTGGAGGCCGAGCCCAAAGGCACCATCACTCTTGAGCTGCTCAGGTCAGCACGCCACGCCACGGTGGAACATTCTAAATCAAGCTCTTGGCACAAAGTGAGAGAGGAGGGGGCGGGGGTTTGCAGTGCTCTGTCTCTAATGAGGAAGCACAAAAAACTACAGAACATTCTGGATGATGTGGTCTTTACTTTACAAAAGCTCTTGCAGACTTACTACACAAATATAACATGCATAGGTACTTTATTGATCCCTACATTGGGAAATTCAACTACATTTCAACTCAATGTAGTTTTGTATAGATCTGAATTTTAACAGCAGCTTTATTTGCCAACAACAGATCAGAGAATCAAACCGTGCCAAAATAGGAAATGCAATAATAACAAACACATAGAACCTATTGGTCCATAGGGAGCGGGATGACGACTGCCCATAAATGTTAATAAATGTTAAGTAAAATGAAAAGTGAACCTGAAGTGTAGGACTGAAAATAAGAAACTTTATTGATCTCACAATAGAGAAATGTGATAATCAATCAATTAACTTTTATTTGTAGAGCGCCTTTCCTTCACAAAGCGCCTCACAAATCACATTAGGCAAAAATCGTAAAAAAAAAAAAAAAATCAAATCCACATTATGCCGACAATACTTATTTACTTGCACCTACTACCCCTCGTGGGGCGATCTCTTTTTGTCGTTTATGTAGCTGCTGTTTTATGGTAGGGTAGCTATCCCTACACTCAACCCTTCTCCTTTTCTCAGCCAGGCTTGGGACTGCTCTTAGGGGAGTTTATTGCAACAATAGATTTCTACAAATACCTGAAGTGTGTGTTTTATGTTGTCGCAGGCATAACGAAGCCTACACCTGGAGTAACCCCTTCTGCTGCGTTCACAACATCATACTGGGAAAGCTGTGGATCGAGCAGTACGGGACGGTAGAGATCCTCAATCACAGGTAAAGCTACATCTCAAACCTGGATCAATCTTCCTGAAAATGCGTGACAGGGTTCTACTCTGACAATGTTAAAATCTAGGTTAAAAGCAGTTGTTTAAATGTAAAAAGTTCAATATGTCTCACTTATTGTTGACACTGGAACTCCCAGAGGAACCCCCAGAAGTGTAATTACTCAACATATGTACCTTTTTAATCTTCCTAAATGTGTGACTTTTTTCTGTTATCTAGTTTATCTCTATGTCACAGTTTTTATCAAATAATCTTTTATTTTTCATATTAGAGGAAAAAATAATAAAGTGACAATGCATATTTAAGGCGCAAACACATTGTTCTGTCTGTGTTTGTGTTTCAGCACTGGAGACAAGTGTGTACTGAACTTTAAACCGTGTGGGATGTTTGGAAAAGAGCTTCACAAAGTCGAGGGATATATTCAGGACAAAAGGTACAAACTCACTTCGATGGAAACAGACTGAGAGACGCTACAGTAAAACAAAGTGCTGTAAATGATTGTTGCTATTGTTATTTGAACTTGTTTAGAGGCAGCCACACACGATACAAGCTGAAGATTAAACTCTAAAGTTACCACAATCTGGAATAAGTCCAACCTAACCCTTTTGTAGTGTGTTGTGTGCTATGTTCAGTGTGTATTCAGATGTAGTAACTTAATCCAACTAATATACCACATCCATCACAGTTTATTATTATTGTAGCATGTGATGTCATACCACAGACCAAGCAGACTTTGTTTGTTTTAAATAAATGAAATGAAATACTAGAGACATATAATTATAGAAAAAGGCGTCCTCTATTATTCCTGGTGTGCTTTTGTTATGTCTGTGTTTGTTTTTTCCTTCCACTTTTTGTGTGTCTTAATAGTTTTTATGTCTTTTGTTTCATTTTTACTGTCATTTAAAGATATATATATATATATATATAATTACCATTTTTTTATGATTTGCTCATTATATTTTATATTTTTGATACAAGGGGGAGATGGTAGGGGGAGAGGATAAGAAAAGAGAAAGTGAAAAGCAATGTAAACTCATGAAAAAAACAAAAAAAATTATCACCAAATATATGTTTACATTCTGAAGGGTCTCTTTTGGCCCTGTTCTCAGTCTGGCTACAAACTCATACTTTTCAAACTTTCTCAGACACAATTTTTTTTGACTGTTTCTTTTTATTCCGTCAGTAAAAAGAAGCACTGTGTGATCTACGGGAAGTGGACGGAGTGCATGTGGAGCGTGGACCCCCAGACCTACGAGGCTCACAAGAAGGCGGAGAAGAAGGGGGACAACAAGAAGGGCAAAAGTGTGAGTGGACGCCGGAGCTTATAGCAGCTATAGCAGTTCACTCTTCATGAACATTAGATCTTAGTCCACTTGTTTTCAAAGATCATGAACATTACACAATAAGAACAACATAGCATAAGATTAATAGATCCTTTATTCATCCATCACTGAAATGAAAATGAAATAAAATTAGTATCCATCCATCCATCCATTTTCTACCCTTTAATCCATTTCTGGGTCAGGGGGGTGGCAGTCAGAGATGCCACCCAAGTCTCATAGCACCAGCCGGAAGCAAGTATGAAATGTAAAATCTCTAACTTTAAAAAGAGGCAAGTGTAAAATAACACAATAGGAATGATATTTATTTTCAGTTATGGTCTGGCCTGATTTAGATCAAAATTAAAAATGTATGGCGGTACCAAGACCCTAACCTTTTCCCCATAAATATTATTAGTTGTTCGTCCCAACACAATGAGACTTGGTAAAAAGTATTGTGATATTATTCATTTTTTTTATTCTTTTCATACAAAAGAGCCCTGTCTCTACTTGACTCTTTGGGCTGAGAGCTGATTGGCTGAGTAAGGGTGGTTTGAGGTCGTATCTTCCCACTTTTCTGTCTGCAAAAGCTGATCTAACGTTGTGACAGATGCCAGAAATGCAAAACTAGTGATAGAAGAAGTGATAGAACAAAACTGTTATGAGAGTGATGGATTTTGATTATATTTGCTATAATTGTTGTGGTTTGATATGGAGGACCAAAAATGACTAAAGTATAAATAAATAAATAAATACAGGAATATATTAATAAATACATTCATTTTGGACAATAAAAACTAAATATTTACATTGATGTGTTAAATATTACTATGAAATCAAATAAATATACTTTTATTTAGGTTATTTATCAATATCTAAATTTTTTCCTTTATTTATTTATCCATTTATTGCATATATTTATTTATGTATTTCTACATATCTTCATTTATTTATTTATGTATTTCTACATTTCTTCATTTATTTATTTATGTATTTCTACATTTCTTCATTTATTTATTTATGTATTTCTGTGTCGCTACATTTCTTCATTTATCTATTTATGTATTTCTACATTTCTTCATTTATTTATTTCTACATTTCTTCATTTATTTATTTATGTATTTCTGTGTTGCCGTATGCTAATTAGGCGGGCGGTGCTGAACTCAATCAATAGCAGGATTGGTGAGCAGTAGGTCAGCCAGGGCAACCAGACAGAAGCAAAGTTAGCCTTCTCGGTTTGTGAGAGGATGTGAAGCTGCTGTATAGCTTGTTGAAGAGCGTCCAGCACAGTTGCATCAAAGTCTACCTCTGGGTCAGCACTGTGATGAACTAAAACATCTAATAGTCTTTCCAGCCGAAAGAGTAGATAGTCCTCAGGTGCATTATGCTCAACATCATTAACATCATTTGCTAATGCTCTTAATTGATGAGCAATGGCTCCTAAAAAACTTACATTCGAAACTGCCATCATACCACACAAAAGTGCACAGAGGATCTCTAGCTAGCTAACAGAGTACCGTAATGTGAGGCAGTAATGATCGAGACCAGAGTTCACGCAATCCTAACCAATCCTGTTCTAGATTGAGTTCAGCACCGCCCACCTAATTAGCATACAGGAACACAAAAATACATAAATAAATAAATGAAGAAATGTAGAAATACACAAATAAATAAATGAAGAAATGTAGCGACACAGAAATACATAAATAAATAAATGAAGAAATGTAGAAATACATAAATAGATAAATGAAGAAATGTAGCGACACAGAAATACATAAATAAATAAATGAAGAAATGTAGAAATACATAAATAAATAAATGAAGAAATGTAGAAATACATAAATAAATATATGCAATAAATGGATAAATAAATAAAGGAAAAAATGTAGATATTGATAAATAACCTAAATAAAAGTATATTTATTTGATTTCAGAGTAATATTTAGCATATCAATGTAAATATTTAGTTTTTATTGTCCCAAAATGGATGTATTTATTAATATATTCCTGTATTTATTTATTTATTTATACTTTAGTCATTTTTGGTCCTCCATAGTTTGAAAGTTAGGTAACCCAGTGCGTGTCTCCACAAACCGTAGTCCAAATATTGTATAAGACTCAACTCAACTCAAAAATTGTATTGTCCCCAAGGGGAAAATTGTTTGCATGTGGTGGAGCAATACAAATAGCAATACAATACAATAATACAATAATCACAGTGAGTATGGCACATCAGGGCACAACACAACTTAATCAAGAGAAAACATGTCTAGATCTTTAAAAGTGTCTATTCAACTGGTTAACTGCGGAGACCACAAATTAACCCCCTAAAACGGTTTGTTCTAGCCCTGGTTAGCCGATATCTTCTCCCAGAGGGGAGCAGTTCAAACTCTAACCTCAGGGGGTGGTCACAAGGTTCTTTATTGGCCCCTGAGACCAGTAATACAAATTAACATAATACAATTCCAGTGTTGTTGACACCGTAAGAAACAGTTTAGTTCCAAACCTAGCAGCACCCTCTAATTCTAAATGTTTGTGTGTGTGTGTTCAGGACGAGCCAGAGAAGGCGGACGACGATGCAGACGACATGCCAGAGGTGCAGGAGACGGTGGCGATGGTCCCAGGCAGCACTCTGCTCTGGAGGATTGACTCCAGGCCTCCACACTCCGCCACAGTCAGTACTAGTGTTGTCATAATAATTAAAAACTCTCCATTTTGATGCTAATGATCGACTCATGCGGGGCTGTAACAAGTTTGATCAATCGCACCGTATCGTGTATTGAAATAGTTACACTCGTTGATTTGCTAAACACAGAACAGACAATCAAACAGTTCAAACACAAGAAATACAATGATAAAAAAACACATAGAGCCATTGGTCCATAAAAGGCAGATGACCCATGACCATGAATGTTTATAAAGTGCATCAATGTTGTTAAAGTGCATAAATATTGTTGTTTTGTCGAGTGTCCTGGATCATCTCCACTGTCCTCAGACTCTCCTCCATGATGATACTCTGCCAACCAATTGACAATCAAAATAATCCGAGACCCAGACCTGTTACTCAATACTGAATTCTGTTATGCTGTTTTTATGCAAAACTAATCATGTTCCTGTTTTGCAATCATTTAAACCAGTGGAGACAGAGCTGCTGATAAACTATAGTAAAAAGAGATTGAAACAGAACAGAAGAGACACTCACAGCCTTTATTTGAGTGGCTACCGCTAAAATAATGTAAATTTTTTCCCTGTTTTTGTAAAATAAACAATACTTGCTCATTTAAGTATCTCCCATCTCCATACAGTATATGTATCTTGTAAACATGTACAGTATCTTGATGCATTATTGTCAATTGTTTTACAGATGTTTAAAATCATATTGTTTTGTACTTTTGAATGCCCTTTTCAGTTCTAACTCTGCAACTCTGCTGTTGGATTTTGGTGTTTGTCAGTCCATTTGTTTTGATAATTTCTCTTGCTCTTGAACTGAATTTGAAGCCGTATTAACTGTAGGAGAGAGACACATGGACTTAAACAGCAGCAGACCATAATCTAATGATGTATTTTCACATAAACTATAAAATCATATAGAAAACTCAGGATTATTGTAGCTAAACTATAAATATTTAACTAGTAAATATAACATAATGATAATTATTATTAATAATGGTTTACCGAAACAAGCAAAAGCAACTTCATCCTTTCTTTACAAACTTTAAAGAAAATTTGAAGTTGCTTTTTTGCTCTTGAACTTAATGTGTGTTGCTTTTTCACAGATGTACAATTTCACTAACTTTGCCATGGCTTTGAATGAGCTGCCGCCGGGGATGGAGGGCATTCTGGCTCCCACCGACTGTCGCTTCAGACCGGACATCAGAGCCATGGAAAACGGGTTCATGGGTAAAACAACAAATATACCACAATAACAAATATACTACATGCACAAATATACTACATGCACAAATATACTACATGCTCAGAACACAGTGAGAAAAGTGAGAAAACAAATGGCTGCTACATAATGATACAACACTGCCATCTAGAGGCACTGGTCCTGTTCAGACTCTGAATCATGGGGTGGGTGGTGTGGAGGAGTGTGACCAGAGATCTTGGATGCTTTGTTTATGATACGTTGGAGTTTGTCAGAGTGAGAATCTGAGTTACTACACCAGACTGTTATAGATAGATAGATAGATAAATACTTTATTCATCCCAGCGAGGGGAAATTCAGTTGTCCTTAGTAGCAAAACAGCGGATAAAAAAGACAATACATATAAATATAATTAAAAAAAATTAAAACCCCCACACATTTACATCAGCGATGACCGTTATAAAATCGAATTGCAGCAGGGATGAAGGATCTCCGGAAGCGCTCAGTCCTGCTGTCTACGGAGAGGAAACGATCCGATCAATTGCTCTTCTGAGCAGACAGAGTCCCATGCAGAGGGTGCCTGGAGTTACTAAGGATGGCCTGGACCTTTCTCCCCATGCTCCTCTCAACCACTGCCTCAACAGAGTCCAGTGACCCCCCAACCACTGACCCCGCCCTCTTAACCAGTTTGTCCAGCCTGTTACGGTTTTTGACCGATATATTGTTGCCCCAACTAATGACAGCATAAAAGAGAACAGCAGCCACAACAGAATGGTAAAACATAGACAACATTTGATTACACACATCAAAGGACTTCAGCCTCCTCAGAAAAAAGAGCCTGGTCTGACCCCTTTTGTAAAGCGCCTCTGTGTTGATGTTCCAGTCCAGTTTATCATCCAGGTGAACACCTAGATATTTGTATGTGTGCACGCGTTCGATGTCCTGTCCATGAATATTTATTGGCTGTAAAGTGTTCTTTTTCTTGCCAAAGTAGATAGTCATTTCTTTGGTCTTGTTAGTGTTCAGAGTAAGTGAGTTCTTGGTGCTCCAATCACAGAATGCAGTGATCAAGTTCCTGTACTCCTCTTCCTGGTTATTTCTGACATAGGCCACAATGGCTGTGTCATCCGAGTACTTCTGAACATGACAAGTGTCAGAGTGGTACTTGAAGTCAGATGTATAGATGGTAAAGAGAAAAGGAGCAAGAACCGTTCCTTGTGGAGCCCCAACATTACTCACGACATAATCCGAAGTGGTGTGGCCAAGCCTCACGCACTGAGGCCGGCCCGTCAGATAGTTATGGATCCACGTGATGAAGATCCGGTCAACCCCTAACCTCTCCAGCTTTTGTTTGAGGATGTCTGGTTGAATTGTGTCGAATGCACTTGAAAAATCAAAGAACATTATCCTCACATATCCACCAGATTGATCCAGGAGGGAGTAGGTCCGGTGCAGCAAATACAGGATGGCATCATCCACTCCGATAGCCTCCTGATAGGCAAACTGGAGTGAGTCTTGTGCGTGTTGTACCTGAGGCCTGAGAAGGTGCAGGACGAGCCGCTCCAGTGTCTTCATAATGTAGGAGGTCAAAGCCACTGGTCTGAAGTTTTTTAACTCTGTAGCCCGCGCTTCTTTTGGCACAAGGACGAGACAGGATGTCTTCCACAGATCAGGGACTCTGCCAGACTGAAGTTGAAGAGTGTCTGGAGCGGCGCCGCAAGCTGCTCCGCACAGTCCTTCAATAAACGCGGACTCACACCGTCTGGTCCAGGACCTTTGCAGGGGTGTAGCTTCTGCAGTTGTTTTTTCACCTCATCAGCAGTCACAGATGGGAGCGGTGAGGAAACAGAAGGAGCCTGGAGGAAGGAATGGTCGGGAGAGGGTGGAGGAGGGGATGAGAAAGGGGCAGGGGTGAGGGAGGATGAGGATGTTACATTGTGTCTGTTATAAAACCGATTGAACTCATTTGCACGATCCCTGTCACCAGCTGGTAAGCTCTGTCTTCCTTTCATTCCCGTGATCTTTTGCATTCCTCTCCACACTTCCTTGATGTTATTAGCCTTTAACCTTCTCTCCAGCTTCCGTTTGTAGTTCAGCTTGGACTTTCTTAAACTCCTTTTCACCTCCCGCTGTATCTCCCTTCGCTTTCCCTTGTCACCAAACACCCTCTTCTTTTCATTTAGAAGATGCTTCACGTCTGCCGTGATCCAAGGTTTGTTGTTAGGAAAGCACCTGACAGTGATTAGGGGCAGGGCAATATCTGTGCAAAAGTTTATACAGTATAGTCTGTTGTGCATCCCACTATTCTGTTAATGTCAAGGTCAGTGGTTGTCCTTCCATTGTTGTCCTGTAGATCCTGGATAACACTCCAGTCGGTGCATTCAAAACAGGCTCTCAGGGATTCACTGGCCTCTGACGTCCACTTCCTGAATGTCCGAGTTGTTACAGGCTGAGTCATTACACAAGGCTTGTATACAGGTCTCAGGTAAACCATGTTGTGGTCAGATTTACCAAGAGGTGGAAGTGCAGAAACAGTGTAGGCCTCTTTGACATTAACAAAGCACAAGTCCAAAGTTTTCTGCTCCCTTGTGGGACAGTCCACATATTGTGTGAATCCAGTCAAGTGGGGGGCAATGTTCACATGGTTAAAATCACCTGAAATAACAAAAAGAGCATCTGGGTGTAGTGTTTGCAATCTCACGACAGTATCGTGTATGACGTCACACGCTGCTGCCGGCTCCGCTCTTGGGGGGATGTAAACAATGATGGCGACGATGCTGTTGAATTCCCTCGGAACATAATATGGACGTAATCCGACTGCCAGTAGTTCAATGTCTTTACAACATAGTCTTTCCTTAGCAGAAATATGTCCGGGATGACACCATCTATTGTTCACAAAAATTGCAAGACCCCCGCCTTTGCTTTTCCCACTCAATTTCACGTCCCTGTCAGCACGCACCAAGGTAAAGCCAGGAAGCTCCACAGCAATGTCCGGTATTACATCCGTGAGCCAAGTCTCCGTTAGACAGAGAAGACTGCTCTCACGGAACGCTCGCTGATAGTTGACAAGCGCCGCGAGCTCATCACATTTGTTATGATAGGAGTTGACGTTACCCATCAAAATCGACGGCACCGCCGGCTTGAATCTCCGCTTCTTAGCCTTTAGCCTGGCACCCGCACGGTTGCCTCGGAAAGGTTTTTTAATCTCCCGAGGAATCGGGTGTTTAATTCCGTGTCCAGACTTTCGCAGCGCAAGGAGATCATCCCTGCTGTAGACGAGTTTACACATAACAGGCTCTAAAAACAGTGAAAAACAACGACAAACGCGACAAAATATCCGGAGCTACTTCAGACTTGCTGCTTGCTCAGCGCATGCGCATGCGTCTCTCGTCTCGTTATTGACGAGGTTAGAATGAACTTCAACTCTTTACTCTTTCTTTCTTAAATCTTATTGTAATATGAACGAGCAGTACTGGATATACTTCTGAATATAAGGTGTTTTGATTGTCTGCGTGTGATTGCTTTTCCAGAGGAAGCCAGCAGAGAAAAGGAACGTCTGGAGGAGAAGCAGAGATCTGCACGAAAAGAAAGAAACAGGAACGAAGAGGACTGGTCTACCAGGTGTGTGTGTGCATTTGTGTGTCTGTGGACTTCTGTCTCAGTGTTTGCTTGTGTATGACAGTGTGCATCTTTGCCATTGTCTGTGTGTGTCTGTGTTTTTGTGTGTTGTAAAGACTATCCTCAACACACACACCCACCCCTTCCTTTCTAAACATTTGTGTTTTCTGCTCCTCAAATTATCTTCTATTGTGGCTTTTATTCAAATCCAGTCGATGTGTGGACAACATTGGCATCCACAACCCCATCAGAATAATTATTACCATTTGTATTAACTTAAAAAAAAGAAAAAAAGCTATGCAAAACGAACAGATGTCACATGTATTTTGTCGTTTCCAGGTGGTTCCAGTCGGGCACAAACCCGTACACAAACAGCCAGGACTGGATTTACTCTGGAGGGTACTTCAACAGGAACTACCAGGGCCTCCCCAACATCTACTGAGATCTTTACCCCCTCTTACTAACGTCGACTGCGGGACAGGCTCATCCATCAATTAATATTAATAGTAGAAATAGAAATAATTCAAGCGTTGATCATTCTTCATCACATCAACTCTGAACTTTCGACAGCACAATTTTCCTTTTGCCCAGCAGGGGGCGATCTCACGGCCCACTGACACAGCTGGTCAGGATACAGCTACATTTGGACGCAATCTGGAGAAACTTTTGAGGGATTTTCTATAGGAGACTTGAAGCTACTCACCAAACAAGTCCTAACATTTTAACCACCACTAAAAAAAGAAACATTCCAGCAAGATAACCCATGTAAAAAAATGTTACGTTGTTAAGTTAGGGATGGGAAGGTATCGTGACTAAAGTGTGGAAGTAAATTATGGAGTTGGCTTATTTAAAACAAACGTCTTCCTCACAATAAAAAAAAACACTATGTCCTATCTGTCCACCTCTGAATGTCTCTTCCTCTGCACTTACGAAGGACCATCACAATTAACATGTATATTATAAAATAGGAGAAGCAGAATACAGCAGGTTGATGACTGTTGGTGTAACAACATGTGAATGTGTTGGTACTTTCTTCAGGTGAAGGTTATTTGACACTGATTAAAGTGCAGAGCAAAAAATACAGTCCACACTGAAAGATGTTTTGAAAGCAATTCATGCATTTTTCAGTCTTTTATATTCTGTTAGTCTAACAGAATATAAAAGACTGAAAACAACATTGTCCCAGACTGGCTCTTCAGCAGCACGGCGACTGTGCAATTCATTCAATTCAATAAATGATTGTATAAGCCCTAAATGCCTAAATCTTAACATATTGTCTCTAAGGCTTTAGCACAAAATTAGTCTGTTTTTTTTCTGATTCTGTTACAGAAGCTACTGTTTAGTGCGATTGTCTCTGAATAATAAAAATACAATGGTTAAAATGGCATTACAAACTTAAACATTATTCATACATCACAATTCACCCAATGTTATTGATTTAAAACCAAATACAAATAATACATATAATGTATAGTGAACAAAGTTTGAAGCGCCATGCCTTATAGTGATGTATAAATGGGGAATACTTTCTCTTTCCCTCTCACAGAACCTGTTGGTGCAAAGACACATTATTACAAGATTGTATTAATGCATTCCGTAAACATAAATAAAAGAATAAAAAAAAAGAAAATCTTCAAATTATTCTGTCCAAAGCTAAATAAGACAGTTTCCAGTCCTGTATTTCAATATTGATTATCGATTGATAGTGGGGGTCGCAACTCTGTGCAACACTAAAGCAAGAAAACTGTTATGTATTATTTTTAAACCAGATCTATACCGAGCTCAGTTAAATCCACAAAAATCCTTTCCAATCTTTCATATTTTAAAAACATAAGCACTTCTCTTCTTGTGTCTCTGGTGGTGGTTAGAATGTTTTACCTGATTGGTGCCTGTACTTGTACTTTTTCTGAAGAAAGAAGATTGTAAAAGTGGACTACGAGACTTTTTTTGAGTGTCTTTCCAAACAAAATCAACCCACTGGTTCACCAAACTATCATACTTTACCAGCAACACTACACTCTGTCAACAAGATTTCTTCTTCTTCAAACGTCGATGTAGATGAGGTTTTTGGAAGTGTGAAATTCTCAGCTGTCGTTCATGGATAATAATAATGTGAATGTCTCATGTTGATGTAAAAACCTGTACAGACGCTAAAGCCATATTAACTCTAGCAGCGAGAGATGTGGAGGTAAACAGCAGCAGACGGTGATGAATAAACGTACACATGATTCTACATAAACTATAGAATTAAATGGAAAAATCTTATTGTGACTAAACGATAGCCTCATTTCCACCACCCCTGCTTAGCCTACTCTACTCAGCTCTACTCTTTAGTACCTGCTTGGCCATGGTTCTATCCTGGCCGAGCTGAGTGCTGCTGGAAGCCATGGTTACCAAGGATGCTGGTTTGTTGTAGATAGATTGCTAGGATACGGTACCGGATTCTAAAGTGTAATGGAAACGCAATCAGGTAGAGAAAAGGCCAAGTAGGGATTGTGGAAATGGCACTTATTATGGGTTATGTGTGTTAGTACTTAATTTATTTCACTAAAACATAAGATATTCATAAAACAAGAATTAATAAGACATTTAAAGCTGAGGTACCTAACTTTCAAAACTCCACACATTTGAACTATGAAATTAGAGTGTTAAAACAGTGACTCATGGGGCTCTAAAAGATTACATGTTGTGATGAGGACGTCATGGTGTGTTTCATTACTGGGAAGAAAAGACCCCAGCTTTAAGTCCATCTATGGCCACAAGCTTTGGGTAATAACCAAACGGATAAGAAACAAGCGATTCCAATTTGCTACTTCAGCAGAGTTTGTCCTTTTAGAGATTTGGGTGAGGAGCTTGGTCAGTTGGAGGAGCAGTGGTTCTACTCAGAGCTCCTCCCGAGTTGAGATGAGCCACTTGATGGTGGCTCCGGCATTTGTTTTGGAAGCCTTAAAGTTGGGGAGACAAAAGTGGAAACAAAAAACCATAGTTCCTCGCTCTCAAAAACATTCTGAGATCGCCCAATTGCTAATATGTATATGACTTTGGTTCTGCAGTAGCTTCTGGTGTCGCTTTCACTTATTGGAAGAATAATATATATATATATATCTTCACACAACTCCCAGTATGCTGTGATAATTGAGTTTATTCTTAGAGTGATTGGCGGCTAGATACAAGTACAGACACTCAAAGCGAGATATCCAGCTGCTCCAGGGCACGGACACCTCTACATATTTATTAAACTCTTGTAAATTCACTCTCCTCACTCGTCTGCTCCTGTTTACGCTCCACAACTGAGTCCCCACTTGTAAATCTCATCCTCGCATGTGTAAAATATTGTACAGAATGGGCCAATGGCAAAAACACCTGGATGAATGTGCTAACCGTGATGTAAGGTCACCGCAGAACAATGTTAGCTTTAGCTTTAGCTGCAGTGTACTAAAAACACAGTCTGTAGATAGTGACTGAGCAGGACTCACGTTTAAAGTATTCCCCTAAAAACAGCAGGATTTGAGCTGAAAGGTTCCCGTCTCGCGTGATCATTTCTCATCACGATTATCCAAGGGCCTCATTTAGAAAACTTGTGACTAGAAATGTAAGTACGAAAAAACAAAACACAACCTTGCTCTCCTCACTTCTTGCCTCATAACCAAAATCTACAAGTGTATTGAATGCGTTTTTTTGTCTCTTGTTTCTAAGTCAAGTTGTCTTTTCACAAATCGCAATCTTTACGTGGAAAGTCGTATATGTAACATTTCTGTACGTACAAACGTTTTATAAATGAGGCCCTGGTCGTTAAACTGAATGTATAAATGTACAAAGTATATATAAGATGTGTCACTTGGTCTCATGAAATGGCAACAGAAGCAAATCCTCAGCAAACTTGGCTTCATCAGTCGACAACGCTCAACAATTTGCGACCGACCAATTTTTCTTTTTTATGGGTCAATAATTGGTTTGTAATTAGTTGATTTCACCAATTTTTGCCTTTAATATTTTCTTTGGAAGCCACTGCCTCCACTCAACCAAGTTATTTTCTAAAACTTATGTCAACCAATATCCATCCAACCATTTTCTTCCACTTTACCCATGGCCGGGTCGCAAGGGCAGCTGTCTAAGCAGAGACGGCCAGACTTCCAAATCCACACACACTTCCTCCAGCTCATTTTGTTTTATTTATTTAACCTTTAATTAACCAGAAAAGTACAATTGAGATTAAGAATCTTTTTTCAAGGGAGTTCTGGACATCAACCAAATTGTTATTTCACCATCTTGTAAAAAATTGTGTAAGTGTAAAAAAAAAAAAATTCTATATAAATAAATACATGTGATTGGATGGGATGCAACACACTTTTTAGAGGACAAAACAACCAAATACCAAGACAGTTTTGATCATTTTTTGGGTGAAGAAACACAAATGTTTCAACTTCCCTCACCCATCCAAACACGGACAATTTTTGACGGAAAATGTCAAAAATAACCAAATATAAGCGATACAGTGGAACAGTAACACAATGTGATCAGGTGGTATAAAACAAGACAATATGCAGTACACACAAACATACTAATAATAATACAATGCACTTATCTAGCGCTTTTTGGGACGCTCAAAGACTTTGTATGCTTTACACACTCTGACCCAAACACTCTCTGACCCTACACCTCTCTCCCACTACTCTGTGTGTGCTGTAGGCATCACTCTCTCATCTCTTTCAGGCAATATCAATGTTATAACTCATTTTAATTCCCATCATGCTGAAGCTTAGAACCTCCACACTTGAGTATTTAGTGAAAGAATATGCAGTTATCATTCAGACAACTTCAGCTCCGCCAAATGCATATGTTAATGTCATACCTCATTCTTTAGCTCAAATAAAAAAAACAACCAAAACAACCAAAACAAATTGGTCAGTCCCGAGACATGATTGACAGCTACCATATGTGTATTGTGTATGTATAGGCTTACAATTTGTGGCAATCCATCCAAAATCCAATATTGAAATAATTTCCATTTGGGATTTTCTGCACTTCCCATGTGAGTTTATACAATCTGATATCTGCCTCTCATTACTTTTTGGTGTTCTGATCATTTTTGACCCAAACTAATAGTCAAAAATCACAGTTTCTATCTATTTGTTGCTGTGGATACAAATTAATGCTGTGGATACAAATAAAAATACTTCTAAATGTGAGTACCTCAAATCGTATTGTAAATTCCAGGGCTGCAACGGTACCTTTTTCTCTACTTGTGATTATTAACAGACATGTTTGCTTCTTGCCTGTGCCATGTTGAGGACTTCATCCCTTAGAAACACTAATGCTATCTTTGCAGCTGAAAAATGGACTCTATGCAACTGTCTCGCCTTAATGTATCTGTCGGAAACTCACTTTGAACGATTTTTCTCTTTTCCGCTTCGGTGCCTGTTTTACTCAATGCCATTCCTG